TACTTATAAAGCTAGAAAAAAACTACTACATAAGTATTATACTAAAGGACCCCGAACTATAGTATAATTATTTTAAAGAATATAAATTAAATATTATTAACTTAAAAATCGGAAAGAGGTATATTAATATAATTATTATTATAATTAGTACCTAGCTTATATAATATAATAGCCGCGAAATACCTAACTAATTTTTAAGTATTATTAATACTCTAAAATTATTTTATAAAAATAAATTAAAAAGGATTAAAAAGCTAAATCTAGAGCTATTAAAAAAGGTAAAAAATAGGGGGTAGTTTTTAATTATTTAGAGGGTAATTAATATACTACGGTAGCGGGGTTATTAATAATATTTAAAGTTTAGTTAGTATTAATAGTTAGTAACGGTTATAGCTAGTTATAAATAATTTATTATTAATTTAAAAATTTAATACGACGTTTATATTTTTATTAGTATTATTATTATTAGTATTTAGTTTGTATAATATAATAATTATAAAATACCTAATTAATTCTTAAGTATTATTAACATTTTAATATTATTATAATAAAATAAAAAACTTAGAAATATTTAAAGAAAACCTAAAGTTATTAAAAAAATAAAAAAATAGGAGGTACTTTTTAGCTATTTAAAGGGCGATTAATATATTATAATAATAGGGTTATTAATAATATTTTAAGTTTAATTAATATTAATAGTTAATAATAATTTTAATTAAGTATAATTAATTTCAAAGTCTTATTAAGTACGTATTAAAAACTTAATACTAATTTTAATAAACTAGTTTATTTATAAAAGTAAGAATAGCCCTTAATAAAGTAGGCTAGACCCTAAAGGGGGGCTAAAAATATATAAAATTAAAATAATAAGTTAATATTTTAAATAGCTTTTATAAGCCCCTCTAACTTTACGAGCTTTAATACGGTGAAGTAGTAAATATTAACCTATTTAGCCCTTTTTTTAAAAACCTCTATATTATTATTAAACTTTAGAACCTCTATAATTAAAAAAGGCCGCCTCTAACTATTATAGCCGATTATTATAGCCGATTATTATAGCTAATTATTATAACTAACTATTATCCCCCCAATAGAGTAATCTACCGGGGCCGTATTATATATTACGTATTAAGGAAAACTGGGTATATTACGCTCTATACCTAAGTATTATTTAAAACTCCTAACTTTCTACCGCTTCTAGCTATTTAGAGGGCGAGCTATACCTACTTTAATATATATAAGACCTCTTAATACTAGCTTGTATAAGTAGCTAGATCCCATATTATATACTCCTTTTTATTAAGGGTTAGGGGGCCCCTTATATATTCTTTTACGTTTATAATATAGACTATATTAAAGGAATTTTTAGTTTTATAAAGTATAATTTTTAAATTAATATTAATATATTAAATCTTAACGTTTATATTAGCCCGGTTATTTATAGCGTTTATATTATTACTTAGCTAAATTTTATATTATTAAAAGGTATTATATTACTCCTTAAGTATATTTATATTAATTATAATAGTTAGGGCGTTAAGAGGGCCTAAGAATCTATTGAGCCTTAGAGAGGGGGACCTATTAAGGGGCATTTTTAGTAAAATAATAGTTTATATATTAATAAGTTCGTTTAATAAGTTTATTTAATAAATTTATTTAGTTTAAATAGAGAGTAGCTTTAAGTAATATTAGAAATAATAAAAATAAAAAATATTTTTACAAGCTCTAAATAGCTAGATATTAACCTTTTTAGCCCTTTTTTTAAAAACCTCTACGTTATTATTAAAACTTAAAACTTCTATAGTTGAGGGCTATTTCTAACTTTTATAATTAACCTTTATTATCGACCTTTTTAGCTAGTACTACTACGTAAAGGGTAGCTTATTTATTTTAAATTATATAGCGGTTTTTATATTAAAATTATTATATTATATTAAGCGCGTACTTAGGGTATATTACGTATATTATATAGTTAAAAAGTATATTATATTATATAATTTCCTTTAAAAGCGTAATCTCGTTAAGGTCGATCTTTTATACTTATAAAGTTAAAAAAAAACCACTATATAACTAACTATTATAATTAACTTTTATTATTAACCTTTTTTATTAATATTATTATAATATAATAAAGAGAGTAACTTACTTATTTTAAATTAAATAATAGTTTTTATATTCAAAAATACTATATTATATTAAATACGTACTTAAAATATATTATACGTATTATATAATTAAAAAATGTATTATATTATATAATTTTCTTAGAAGTGTAATCTCGTTAAGGTCGATTTTTTATACTTATAAAGCCGGAAAAAAACTACTATATAAATATTAAAATTTAATATGTTAATATTAACTTCAAACTATATATTTTTTTTATTCTACTTTTATTAGTTACTCGGGCGGTTCTTAATATTATTTATATAATACTAATATATAGTATTAATAGATACTTTTACTATTTTAATAGACTATTTCTTTAGATTTCTTTCCTAACTTTCCCTTTTATAAAGTTTATAATAGATTATTAATAATAAAATTAGGCACCTAATACTATTACTTTATAAACTACTTACTTAGCTAAGTTTACGGCCCCTTTAAGTAATAGTAGTTTATAATAATATAGTATTAAAAATACCCTCGTCGCTGTTATTAAAAATAATACTAACCTCTATAAGCACGATATTAACCTTAATATTTTTAACTTTAACTTATATATATATATATATATATATATATTTATTACCTCGTTTTTTTTAAAAAAAATTTAAAAAACGCTTCTTTTATTATTTATTATTATTATTATTATTAAACTATTTATTTTAAATATATTTTATTAAAATACTAAGACGTTAACTTATTGACCCTTAGGGCTTCTTTAATAACTAAAAGTTCGATTTTATAAATATTATACTAAACGACCCTAAGTTATAAATAGACTATTTTAATAAATACTATATTCGTAATATTAACTTATAGAAAATAAATATATATATTATAATAAATATTATTCTTATTAGTACTTTTTTAATATAATAAAATAATATAAATAAGTTTAGATTTTATAATATAATTAAAAACTTAAAAAGAGCGTAATTAAGCGTATTAAATAGGAATATTAGGGAGAGGTTATTATTAAATAAAATAAAAAAAGAAAGTAAGGGGTAGTATTTAGCTATTCGGAAGGTAATTAATATACTACGGCAGCGGGGTTATTTTATTTAATATCGGCTATAGCCGGCTATAGCCGGCTATAGTTAGTTTTAAAGTTTTATTAAAAGTAATACGTAATAGAAACTTAATATTAACCTTAATAGACTAGTTTACCCGTAAAGGCGAAGATGGCCCCTAATAAGGTAGACCGGACCCTAAAGGGAAACTATATTTTATAAAGCTAAAAATCTTTTTAATATAAGCTATATTATAAATATAAAGAAATATATAAGGGGTCCCTTAATTCTTAATAAAAAAGAGTATATAATATTAAATTTAAATATTTATATAAGTTAGTATTAAGAGGTCTTATATAGTTTTTTTTTTTTTAGTTTTATAAGTATAAAAGATCGACCTTAATAAGATTACGCTTTTAAAAAAATTATATAATATAGTATACTTTTTACTTATATAATATACGTAATATACCCTAAGTATATGCTTAATATAATATAATAATTTTAATATAAAAACCGCTATATAATTTAAAATAAGTAAGCTATTTTATAATAGTATTAGCTAAAAAAGTTAATAATAGAGGTCGGCTATAAAAGTTAAAAGCGGCCCTTAATTATAAAAGTTTTAAACTTTAATAATAACGTAAAAGTTTTTTAAAAAAGGGCTAAAAGGGCTAATATTTAGCTACTTAGAGCTTATAAAAATTCTTTTTATTTTTATTATTTTTAATATTACTTAAAGCTCTATTTAAATTAAATAAATTTATTAAATAAACTTATTAGTATATAAACTATTATTACCTCGTTAAGAACTTATTTCAAAAATATCCCTTAATAATTCCCCCCCTCTAGGGCTCGATAAATTAGGCCCCCTTAATACCCTAATTATTATAATTAATATAAATATATTTAAAAAAATAGCATAGTACTTTTTAATAATACAGAATCTAACTAAATAATAATATAAATATTATAAATAACCGGGTTAATACGGATATTAAAATTTAATATATTAATATTAATTTAAAAATTATATTTTATAAAACTAAAAGTCTTTTTAATATAAGCTATATTATAAACGTAAAAAAATATATAAGGGGCTTTATTAAAATAAATATAGCTCGCTTTTTAAATAGTTAAAACTTAGAGAATTTTATATAATAAAAAGTCGGGAGCTATTAATAAAAGGGAAATAATAGTTAAGTCGGTTAATTACTATTTTAATTAGTAGTTAAGTATAGAGCGTAATATACTTAGTTTTCCTTAATACGTAATATACGGTACGGCCCCGGTAAATTACTCTATTAGGGGGTTAAGAAATTTTATATATATTAAAATAAATATAGCTTCTTTTTTAAATAAATAATAAAAAGTTAAGAGTTATTAATAAAAAAAAGTAATAGTTAAGTTAGTTAATTACTATTACGGTTTTAATTAATTATAAAATATAGACTATAATATACTTAGTTTTTTTTTAATATATAATATATAGTACGGCCCCGGTAGATTGCTTTATCGGGGGAATAAAGGACTTTATAAACTTCAGTTTTATAATATATTTATATTTATATTATAGCCTCGCTAATTAAGTACTTATAGCCTAATCTTTTATATTAATATTATTATTAATAATTTATAATTATAAACTTTCTTTAGAAAATTTTAAAAAAAGGGTTTAAAAGTAGTTTTTAAAAATAATAAGAGTATTTCTTAAGAATATATATTAATATTATATAAATAATATTAAGAACTACTTTAGTAGTTAATAAAAATAGAATATTAAAATAAATAAAAGACCTATTTTATACGAGTAACCTTAAGATATAAATACTTATTTATTTATATATTCTGCTTTTATTAGCTACTCGGGCAATTCTCGATATCGATTATATAGTATTAATATATAATATTAATAGATACTCTTATTGTCTCGATAGACTATTTTTTTTTTAGATTTTTTTTTTTTTTTAACTTTCCCTCTTATGAAGCTTATAACTACGGATTATTAATAAATATAAATACTTATTTCTATTTCTTATTAATAAATTATTAATAAAAAGCTATTTAATAAGAAGTATTAATAATTTATTCTATTTAATCGATAATTCAATATCCTTATTAATCAAAGTTCGAAGTAGCTTCTTGTAGCGATCCTGTTGACTAGGTGATTAACCCATGTCCCCACCGTCATAACTTTTGGGACGCACCTCCGTATATCCGTGGTCGGAGGTCTACGTACTTTAAGCTGAACCTCCTATCTAAATCACGGGTCCCTCGCCGCGGACAACATTGCATCGCTGACTGCATAACTAAGTTAATGAGGGCCTCAATTGCAGCATCTTATTGCAGCTTTCAATGGGTGTTCTCGCGCCAAAAACAGCTCCACGAGGGCGTCGTCAGTCAAAAAAGTCTACAGGCGTTGTCAGGGACGACTCAGATGATGAGCTTGGCATAGATGATCTTCCATGGGAATGGATTCTCGAGTCCAATGATGCGGATACCCCACAGGACCATGGCGACGACACGCAAACCTCTCGGAAGCGGAGGAGAGCCAATACTGAGGGGCGGATCATGGGTGCCCGAATGGGCAAGTTTGAGTGCTACGTTGGCGACTGTGTTCTACTGAAGGCGGAAGGGTCCAACGAGGCCTGGGTCGCCATAGTCTGCGAGTTTTTAGAAGAAGATGATGGCGAAAAAGCAGCGAACTTCATGTGGTTCTCGACTGAGAAGGAAATCCGTAACAAGGAGAGGAAACGGACGGATTTCCTGCCTGTATGTCATTCGACCCAGGCTAATTGATGGTGCCAACGCTTACTTTTGAGTCATCTAGAATGAACTGTACATCTCACCTTCGTGGGATGTAAATCCGCTCGCCGCTGTCAACGGCACAGCCGTCGTCATTTCTCATCGAGAATTCCATCAAAAGTACCCGTCGGGCAAAATACCTCGATCCTCACCCGATTTTGGTAAGACCTTCATCTGCCGTCGCGCATGTAACACAAGAACAGCAACCTACACGGATGAGTTTGTGTGGGAAGAAGTGTATCATGCGAGTGAGCAGGGCGTTTCTGACCTGATCGGGTTTGTCAAATCACAAACGAAGTCGACGCGACATCGTCAGGCAGCGAGGCAATCAACGCCGGAGCAGTCGTACAAGATGACCACAGATAGTTTGGCGGGTGCATCGACGCCCAAACGAACCCCGAAGGCCGAACATTCAACGCCCAAGGGAGATGCCCGGATAACGACGACACCTGGGTCTCGTAAACGGTATGTCTCTGCTCCATACCTGATTCATTAGGCGCCTCGCCTAACCGGCCGTGTTCATGCAGGATCGTGGTGAAGAAGACGCTCGAGTTTACGCCTTTAGGTACGAGAGTACTGTCACCAAAACGCTTGCAGTCTTCGCCTTTTCAGCTGGCTCGTTCCCAGCTCCACGTTGCCTCCGTACCAAGAAGCTTGCCTTGCCGCGAGAGCGAGTTCAACCTGGTGTATTCACACCTGGAGGCAGCCATTGCGGATGGTTCAGGAAGCTGTATCTATATTGCTGGTACTCCAGGGACGGGGAAGACAGCCACTGTCCGAGAAGTGATATCTCGCCTAGAAGACAGCGTGAAGGCCGATGAACTTGACGATTTCATATTCGTAGAGATCAATGGCATGAAGATCACCGACCCTCACCAGTCCTACACCCTCCTGTGGGAGGCACTCAAAGGCGAGAGAGTTAGTCCTACACAAGCCATCGACCTTTTAGAGAGAGAGTTCAACAATCCAAGTCCTCGCCGGACGCCGTGCGTTGTGCTGATGGATGAACTGGACCAGCTGGTGACGAAGAACCAGAGCGTCATGTACAACTTTTTCAACTGGCCTGGCCTTCGACATAGCAGGCTCATTGTCCTAGCTGTTGCGAATACCATGGACCTTCCGGAGAGAACTCTGAGTAACAAAATCAGCAGTCGCATAGGTGAGTTCTATGCATGCATACTGTGAAAAGTGTTTCGTGCTGACATGACAAACCAGGCTTGACAAGAATCACATTCCCAGGCTATAACCATGAACAGCTCATGAAGATTATTCAGTCAAGGCTCGAATGTGTGCCCGGGAGCATCGTGGAGGCGGACGCTATTCAATTCGCCAGCCGGAAGGTGGCTGCAGTGAGCGGCGATGCAAGAAGAGCCCTGGACATTTGTAGGCGAGCTGTAGAGCTCGCCGAAGGCGACACCCGCATCGAGACGCTTGTAGTCGACCCCGAGGCACGACGATCAACCCCGAGCAAAGGCAGACCATCAGATGCGCCAGTCAAGGTCACTATCGCCACAATCAAACGTGCCATCAACGAGGCCACGACCAATCCTGTCCAACAACACCTTCGGTCTCTACCTTTCGCACCCAAGCTATTCCTGTGTTCGTTGCTAGTCACAATACAAAGAAGCGGCACTGCTGAGACGACATTCGGCGATGTAGTGGACGAAATACACCGCATCATCAACCTGGACACGGCGACTCTCGAGTCCACCATCCTCAGAGCTCTGTCGACGGGGCCATCAGGAGGTGACGTCGGCCAAGGCAATGGTAGTGTCCGAGTAGTCCAATCTCTGGCGCTTCCTCAGGCGGCGCTTGAACTAACGGGCGCTGGCATCATTGTGCTAGAAGCGCATAAACCAGAACGACCAAGCAAGGTACGTCTCGCTGTGGGTGATGAGGAGGTCAAGATGGCGTTTCGAGATGATGGAGAAGTAAAAGCCTTGGGTCTGTTTTTCTAGGTCACTGTCTGAAATATAGGTCCCGAATGCAGGCAGGCTTTGGGGTCGGGTATCTATTAATGACAAGTAAGGCTGGGGTTTCCGAGCCAATCCTATTCTACATGGATCCTTTGCCAGTATCTAGAACTTGCGTCTGGCCAGTGTTGGCTGCCAAACAATGGGGTGCGACTCAGGTGTCGCCTTCTCATCCTGCTTCCATATCTTGATCGTCTTGTCGGCCTCTCCGCAAATCAAACGCAGCCCGGAGCGATCAAACGTAGAACTCATGATGCCCGCTTCGGCGTCCAAGGATCCCGGCTGTGCCGTAGTATCTAGAGCCTGGAAGCGATGGCCTGTCTTCCAGTCCCAGAAACTCATGGAGCCATTATCGCCACCGGAAAACAAAACGTTTTCCTGGTTAACGCTGAGCGTATTGATGATGGCGTTGTGGCCGTCGAAATTCTGCATGAAGGCTCCTTCGGGACATTTCCACTGCTTGATGCTTCCCGTGCTACCACTAGCAAACGTAAACTCTGAGGGATGCGTGGCCAAGGCCCTAACGCCCTTTTTGTGATGCGTCAAGACACCCATGGTCTTTCCGGCAGCCAAATCCCAAAGTCTCACTGTCGCATCTAAAGACCCGGTCATGACCTGAGGATCGGCCTCTTGACACTTGACGTCCGATACAGTCCCGGTGTGGCCGGATAATACGTGAATGTTGCTTCGGGTTCGCATGTCCCAGACTCTTGCGACACCGTCTCGACCACCAGTGACCAGTACGTCCAAGGTGGGATGAAGCGCAAGTGTGTAGACGCCGCTTAGATGGCCATGGTAGTGGCGGATAACCTTGTTTGTCTCGAGATCCCAGCATTTGACCATCTTGTCTTCGCCACAGGAGAACAAATAAGGGTGGCGCGGGCTTACGGCAAGGCCACGTACGGTCGATATATGACCAGTCAGAGTCAGGCGTAAGGAGCCGGTGGCTAAATCCCAGATCTTGATAGTCCTGTCGCCAGCACCACTTGCAAACCACTTATTGCCTGGCTCGACTGCTAAGCTCCGAACCCATCCCAAGTGACCAGAAATGACTCTCATTAGCTTCCATGGCGGATGCCACTCAGGCCTGGCGCCGTGAGGAGTTGACGCGCCCGCTCGGGTCAGACTTGTGGGCTGAGAAAGTTGGGAGTTGTTGTCTTTGACGCCGGGTCTTTCATTATTGATGGGAGGAGCGCCAGGGCCGGGTCCACTGGAGCCCTCAAGTAGCTTCTGTGCAGAATTTCGTCTGATGACAGCCTGCTCTGGCTTGGAGTGTGCCTTGATTCGCCGTGCCTTCGTGGGAGCGGGCTGCTTAGCAGCAAGAGCTGGTGGAAGCTGCTGAACCCCGGAGTATTCGAGCTTGAACCGGCGATCGGCACCCGTTTCGTCGCTGGGCCTCTCGGTCGACGAGTCGCTGGGCTCGTTTCTTTGTCGTTTCTTAGAGGGAAGGCCGAGAGCCTGGGGGTAAATGGTTCTGGTCGTCTTCTGATTGCCGTCTAGGAGGGACCTTAAAGGGGTGGTGTCGGACGAGGGCGCCGTCGGTTCAGCCATGGCGGCTCCCATCGCAGTGGCAACCTGACTGGGTCGGTGGAGCGGAAGTATCGCAGGAGCGCGTTCTGGTTGAATTTTCCTTGATTCGACGATCTTGTTTATGCGCCAGGTGCCGAACGGTTATTGTGGTGCGTCGCGGTGTAGCGGAATGAAATGGGATGGATTGGGATGGATTGGAAAAAGACTGACGCGCCAGAGTCTTGAATTGGATAGCCATCTGTAGCGATGGTCTGGGTGGGTACGTGCTTCTATGGTCGTGTAGGTACCGACGTGCGCGCCTACCTTACCTTACCTTACCTAACTAACGGTATTTACATACAGGAGGTACCTTATCTGGAGTAGGTACCACCAGGTTTCAGGTAATTTGGGACTTGGAGCAATGAGCCTTTAAGGCGTCGCTTTATCAACAGATCCATGGTCATGGATATTTTTGAACAAAGTCACAACCGTGAGTATATGACGTTCACCCGGTTTTTCTTAAGCTTGACTTAGCTATTAAAGGTGTAAGGTAAGGTACCTTAGCTTCGCTGCCTTAGACGTATACTGCCTAGAAACCTAGATCTCACCTATCACCTAGCTTCTCTCGCTGGGCAATGGTTCCAGACCTCTTTATGAGCTTGGTCA